CCTTCATCCAGCTCTGTCTCTGCTCTTCCTTCAACTACATAATTGGTAACATATATTGCCCCATTTAATTTATATTGTAATGTAAAGTAACTTACTGTATCTTCAACATTTCTATATTCAGTCACTATAAAACTGAGGATCTTTGAATTAGTACAGTGGTTCCTTGAGTTATGAACTTAATTCCTTCCAGAATGCTGTTCGAGTGCCGATACCAAGCGAATTTGTTCCCATAAGGAATAATGTAAATTAGATTAGTCCATTTCAGACCCCCCAAAAATACACTTACGAAAGCACTTACAAAAATACACTTACATAATTGTTCGAGTTGGGAGCTGTTCGAAATGCGAGGTACCACTGTACTTCGAAACAATGTCTCTCTTGTGATAGACCATTTGTCATTAGCTGTCTTATTGTAGTTAATTGCATAAGAATTCTTATTTAATAATAATAATAGTTTATTAAGACATGATACATAGTTGTACAAGAAATTATAGTATTTGGGTGTACATGCCAAAAGCCCCTTGTATGCAGAGCATTATGGGCAGGCTTAAAATTAACTTAATCTTAACTAATTAATTAACATGGATTATGATTAGCTGGTCAAAATGCATTACATAATTTATGGCCATCTTTTGTGTCTACCACTGTATTAAATCATGTAAATTACATTATATGGTTTAAAGAAAAAAATTTTAGTGTCAAAAATACTAAATATGGTTTGTGGTGTTGCCAGACTGCTGACTAGTGGATATTGTGTTGCTGTATCAACATGCGAGGACCAAGACTATTTGAACATGTAACCAAAAATCTGCTGGGAAAAGTGTAGAAGTCTTCAAGAGGAAACTGGACAAGTATCTTCACCAGGTGCTGGATCAACCAGTCTGTGATGGAGTGGGTCAGTGGATCACAAGCAGTAACATCCTGGTGGAGCAGGCAAGCACCAGATGAGCCAGACCCCTGGCTGGGCTCTGGCAGTAGTAAAACACTCGGAACTCATCAGAGGTTAAGGTTAGTTTGTCAGTAGTGTGTGTGTGAGGCATTTATAATATAATATATATATTGGAAATAAATGGTATAAAATACCGACACAATGGAAATATAAACACTTAAGCAGTATAATGTGATCCTTTATTTACAATGTTTTGCCCACACAGTGGGCTCTATCAGTCACAAACAGATCTACCTGGGTGAAAGATTTGGTACATCTGTTTGACTTGATGAAGTCCACTGCATTGGCGAAACGTTGTCAGTAAAGGATCACATTATACTGCTTAAGTGTTTATATTTCCATAATATATTTTATTTTGACATGATACATGTATATACAAAGTAGTATAATAGTTGGGTGTACATGCCATAGCTTAATGTTAATAAGGCAATAATTGTACATATGGTCATTAGGTGAGTTACAATGAATACAAGTGACTTGAGTATTCTATTAAGTCATGCAATATGACTGTAATAAGTCTTGTAGAGAAGACTTACATCTTTTATTGTTAACCATAGGTGGATACAGTGTAGTGATTAATATTTGAGATGAATACAGGTATTGAGAGCAAGTATATATTAATTATATTGATAAAAAATTTTGCCCATGTTCATGATATTGAGCAAGTGTATGTATAGTTTTTACATGTGTATTTATGATGGGCTGAGATAGGTTACGGAGATAAGATGTTTTTAACTGTAGGTTTAAAAATGCTAGCTAAACCAGTGATTCTGGAGATTTCTGGCAAAGTTTTCCAGATTTTGGGCCCTTTTTATGTATAATGAGTTTTTGAAAAGATTTAGCCTTACATAGGGTCTGTCAGAGAATTTTGTGCCTAGTGCCAGGCCCGGTGGCCTGGTGGGTGGCCCGGTGGCCTGGTGGCTAAAGCTCCCGCTTCACACACGGAGGGCCCGGGTTCGATTTCCGGCGGGTGGAAACATTTCGACACGTTTCCTTACACCTGTTGTCTTGTTCACCTAACAGCAAATAGGTACCTGGGTGTTAGTCGACTGGTGTGGGTCGCATCCTGGGGGACAAGATTAAGAACCCCAATGGAAATAAGTTAGACAGTCCTCGATGACGCACTGACTTTCTTGGGTTATCCTGGGTGGCTAACCCTCCGGGGTTAAAAATCCGAACGAAATCTTATCTTATCTCTATGAGTCCTGTTGCAACTGTCAAGAAAGTGTTTCAGGTCGGGATTTATATTAGAATTAATTGTTCTGTAAATGTAGGTTGCATAATAGTACGAGTTAATGCTTTGTATAGAGAGTAGGTTTAGGTCTTTGAAGAGTGAGGGGGGGTGTTGTCAAGCAGTGGATTATGTAATCATTCACACTGCAGCTTTTTGTTGTGTTATTATTGATTTTAGGTGTATTTTTGTTGTGGAACCCCAGGCACAAATAGCATAAGTGAGGTATGGGTAGATCATTGAATAGTATAGTGTAAGTAGTGCTGTTTGTGGTATATAGTAATGTATCTTTGAGAGAATGCCAACTGTTTTAGAAACGTTTTTTGTTGGATATGGGTGTTGAATTTCATGTTCCTATCAAGGTGCAGACCCAGGAATTTTCCTTCATTATGTTTAGTAATAAGGGTGTTGTTAAGCATGATGTTTAGTTGGTCCTCACTTGTTCTACTCCCAAACAGTGTAAAAGGTTTTGTCTATATTAAGTGTAAGTTTATCAACTGTCAACCAGGTTGCTATGTTTGCAAGTTCTTCATTAACAATAGTGTTGAGTGAGGCAAGATTTGGATGGGAGATGACAAAAGTCATGTCATCAGTAAAAAAAGATAGGCATAAGTTGTTGTGATACACTTGTAAGATTGTTGATGTATAAAAGGAAAAAGAGGGGACCAAGAATGCTACCCTGTGGTACACCAGTGTCTAGGGGTCTTGTTGAGGAGGTTGTCAATGACAGAGACGTACTGCTTTCTATTAGTAAGGTAGGACTTGATAAATACGGGTGCATAGCCTCTTATACCGTAATGATAAAGCTTGAGGAGTAGGATGCTGTGATCTAATGTATCAAAAGCTTTCTTAAGGTCGATAGAATCTATGCGGGTATTTGTTTATTCCAGTGCTGTGTAAAGTAGGTCTAGCATTTTTATTATTGTATCATTTGTGCTTTTCTCTCTCCTGTATCCAAAGTGGCAGGGGTTGAGGATGCTTTGTGATGTTATGAAGGAGTATAACCTTTTGTGTATGAGTTTCTCAAAGATTTTGGAAAGTAAAGGCAAGTTTGACATTGGCCTATAATTTTTTACATTTGTTGGGTCACCACCTTTGTGTATTGGTGTAATCCTTGTTAAAATTATAATTTATTTCCTTGTAAAGCTTACAATGTTTGGCTTACATGTTGTGAAATGTTAATTACAAAGAAGGCCACTAACATGCTTAGGCATTTCAGGCATGCCTAGGCATTTCAGGCAGACTAATACTAGTTCTTACTCTGTATTGATTTGGAGCAGTACATTTGAATATACATTATTAGATAAATACATGATTAGATACATACATAGCTAGGCACATACATAAGTAGATTTACAATATTGAGGTAGTACGAGGCATATACATAGTTAGATTTACACAATTAGATAGCTTAAGTGATGCTGGAAAAGTGTTGGTTTCTAGTGATTTGTTGAAGAGTAATGCAATGGTGGGTGAAAGGATTTGAGCTGCTCGTTTATACAGTAGTGGTGGCACTTGGGTTACATTCCTTGATTTGTTTTTTAGAGACTTAATAATCATGGTAACCTCAGTGAATTCTGTTGGTGTAAGCTAGAGGGATGTTGGGAAGTTATGGCATTTTATTGAGCAGATCTTCAATCTTTGTCAGTATAGTTTATTAAATCCATCTCGTGTAGTAACGGGGTTGATTGATGCCGTCCAGCTTAAATCTTTGCAATGACTCTCGAGTATAAATACTTTATAAATACTTTAAATTTTGTTTCCAGAAACTGTCTCCCACCAAGGTAGTGACCCAAACAAAGAAATCATTTACCATCACAGTCTTGCCAGAGGGGTGCTGATACTACACCTCAAAACTGCTAATGTCTCCACCCATCCTTTAGGGTGCAGGTACTGTGTTATATAGTAATTGAAGAGTTGTTGGATAGATGTACTTGAAATATTTATATTAAAAGTCGTATAATTATATGTTGTACATGTATAGCTGAAGGGTTATTTGGCAGTTGGTCAGTTTTGTTAATACAGACAACTGCTATTACAAAGAAAGTAAATTTTATGGAATCTAGTCCATTGTATACAACCTAAGTTGGCATAACTTGGATTGAAAATGGTGTGAAATCGGTCACCAAAATGATATTTTTTAATGTGTATGGCATCTGTGGTCATTAGACAGGCCTTACTGACATACAACTGTTCCCATCCCATCTGTTGTCAAATTAATGTCATAAAAGGTGACTAAAATGCCGGGAGCAGGGGGCTAATATCTCCTGTGTAAATTACTAAATGTAAAAAGAAAAACATTATGGGCTTCTTTTTAGGGTCAACCTGCCTCAATGGCAGATGGTCGGTGTCTTGACAAAATGATTTTTTTTTTTGTGTGTGTGTGTGTGTGTGTGTGTGTGTGTGTGTGTGTGTGTGTGTGTGTGTGTGTGTGTGTGAGAGAGAGAAAATTTTATCTAAAGCACAATACTCTTCTCATCATATTGAGCCAAATACATTAGTTATAATTAATGAACGTGTAACAGCTGATGTTTGTTAGATATCTGAAAATATCCATAGATATAATATGTTTTATTTGTTGGTAAGAGAATTCCCTAATGTGTGACAGGAGGTTGACAGGTATGGGCTGGGGGTTATGGGCAGGCAATACCCTCTTTCTCTCCTAACTACTGCACTGTTGCATTGTACTCATCCTTTATCTCCATTCAATTGCCTTCAAAACTGTACTAGGACCTAATCACCTGAAACCTAATAAATATTGACATTTTATTCAGTCTTGTTCAGTTCATATTGATGATGAAAGTAAAAGTAAAATATTGATTCTTTAGTGTTCTTTACTAATTATAATGAAACAAGAGTTAATTGGACAAGTATGCATAAACTGAACATAGACAAACTATCAGTGTATTTGGTATGTATAGTATACATGTTATCAGGAAGATGCATTGTGATGGTGGGTTATCATAGTGTTAAATGCACTTTGGTGCTTCTGGTTACATACTTGTACAGAAGGAAATTTTATTTCTTTGTGCAGTTTATGTGTAATAAAATATTATTAAGCAGAAAGAAAGCCACTAGCTTGCATGTGCATTTTGGGCCAGTAGGTTTGCTGCAGTATTTGTCAAATTAAATAATGTTTTGATGAGTAGGCCTAGTCTACCATAGGCCTATGAGCATTCTGCTGCTCTTCTCTTCTTATGGCCCATGGTAGAGGGGGCCTACTCAGCCAAACATTACAGGACCATTTAGTCGCAGAATGCTACTGTATGTACACAGTACATTGATGACGTTGTTGGCTATGTTTACATTAATAAAAAATTTTCAAACATCAGTTAAAGTATTATACATTGGTGCATATTTATGCCAGCCAGTGAAAATGCATCATTTTACCTCCTTTCATGTCTCTTAATCATTTCAAAGTACATACTGGACGAGAGCAAAGCTTTTGTATTATTTTTGTTTTGAAATTCTAGTGTTTGTGCCAGTGGACTTATTTGGCACTGGTGTACCACAGGGAAGCATCCTTGGTCCCCTTCTTTTTCTTTTATGCATCAACGACCTTCCAAGCGTATCTCAACAACTTACGCCTATTCTCTTTGCTGATGACACGACTTTTGTCATCTTTCACGCTAATCTAGCTTCACTCAGTACCACTGTTAATGAAGTGCTCACAAAAATAGCAACCTGGATGACTGTCAATAAACTTAAACTGAATATAAACAAAACTTTCTACATTATGTTTGGGAGTAGAGCAAGTGAGGTCCAATTAAACATTATGCTTAACAACATCCTAATTGCTAAACATAATGAGGGAAAATTCCTGGGTCTACACCATGACAGCAACCTGAAATTCAGCACCCATATCCAACACATAGCAAGAAAAGTATCTAAAACAGTTGGCATCCTTTCAAAGATACGCTACTATGTATCACAAACAGCACTACTACTTTCAATGCACCAGCCATATCCACTGAGGCGGGATAGCCCAGAAGGAAAAATGAAGGTTTCTCCTTGTAAATTTAGTAATACGTATAAAATATACAGAGGTACCTCGAATTTCAAACAGCTCCCAACTTGAACAATTATGTAAGTATTTTTGTAAGTGCTTTTGTAAGTGTATTTTTGGGGGTTTGAAATGGACTAATCTAATTTACATTATTCCTTATGGGAACAAATTTATTTGGTAACGGCACTTGAACAGCCTTCTGGAATGAATTTTGGCCGATATTAGAGGTACCAATGTACAGGAGAAGGGGTTACTAGCCCCTTGCTCCCAGCATTTTAGTCGCCTCATATGACACACATGACTTACGGAGGAAGAATTCTGTTCCACTTCCCCATGGAGGTAAGAGGAAATGAACAAGTAGTAGTAAGAAAATAAAAGACAACCCAGAGCGGTGTGTATATATACAGTATTCTTGTACAACAGCACTACTTAAACTGTACTATTCACTGATCAACTCCTACCTTACCTATGCAATTTGTGCCTGGGGCTCCACAATGACAAATCACCTCTACACATGCTGCTGTGTATGATAATCTATGTAACTGTATTTATGTATACCTGAATAAACTTACTAAAGCCAATAATAACCCAGCAAAAAGCTGCAGTGTAAATGATCACACAATCCACAGCTAGACAACCCCCCACCCCCCCAATTTTCAAAGGAGTAAACCTACTCGCTATACAAAACATCCGCTCGTACTACTGTGCAAACTATATTTACAGTACAGTACAATCAATTATAATATAAATCCTGACCTGAAGCACTTTCTTGACAGTTGCAATAGTACCCATGGACACAGTACTAGACACAAATCTCTATGACATTCCCCGTGTCAGGTTAAATCTTTTCAAAAACTCAGTGTACATAAAATGACCCAAAATCTGGAAAACTCTGCCAGAAGTCTCCTGAACCCCTGGTTCAGGTAGCATTTTTAAAACTTAAGTTAGAAAACACCTCATCTCCTTAAGCTATCCTAGCCCATCATAAATAAATGTGTAAAAAACTATATGTGAATGGTTACTTACGTTTATACATGGCTACAATCATGAACAAATTATAGAGTAATGAGCAATTCACACTTCCACACCCAGTCACAACTGTAACGAGTTACCGGGTGTGGAAGTGTGAATTGCTCATTACTCTATAATTTGTTCATGATTGTAGCCATGTATAAATGTAAGTAACCATTCTTACAGGATTCATTACCTTTGTAACTTGTGAGTTCATTACCTTTGTACCTAGTTCAGCTATCAAAACTTTGGGGGCCCAGTCCCTGGACCCATTACATACCTCTGTAATCTGTAAATACCTTTGTAACTTGTCATGATTGTGACCAGACCTACCTGGAGTTCATTACCTTTGCAAATTGTGAGTTCATTACCTCTAACTTGCTCAGCTATCAAAACTTTGGAGTCCAGTCCCTGGACCAATTATGTACCTCTGTAATCTTTTGACTACTGCCCACAGGATGGGTATGGGTGCATAATAAACATATTAAACTAACTGCATTTGCTCAATATCACGAACATAGGTATATCTTTATAATCAATATATGCTTACTCTCAATATCTGTAATCATCTCAATTGTAATGTTAATCATTCCATTGTGTCCACTTAAGGTTAATCAAAACTGTAATTTTTCTCTGCCAAACTTATTAAAGCTATATAGCATGAACTAATAGAATGTTCAGTTTTCTTGTATTCATGGTAACTCTCCTAATGACTATATGTACAATTTTACACTGTTATTGCCTTATTAATGTTAAGTTAGTCTTATGTTTGGCCAAAATGCTGTGCATATAAAGGGGATTTTGGCATGTTCACCCAAACATGTATCATGCTGAAATAAAAATTATTATTAGTTTATAGCTGGAGGCTTTTGCTAAACCTGTTGATGAATTTCTTGGATCTTTTATGTCATTTATTATTTTGTTTCAAAAGACTAAGCCTAGCAAGTAGCAGGCAGTGATCTACAAGACTGTGGTAGTATGACCTACCAGGTAGTGATCTACAAGACTGTGGTAGTATGACCTACCAGGCAATGATCCACAAGACTGTGGTAGTGTGGCCTACAACAAAAGTGTAGTTATTGGAAAAAGGGGAGATCTACACTTAGCAGAGGTGTCTGTATATAGAGGCAGTTTTATGCCTACATGTGTAAGAGTGATATGCAGCCTAGAAGTCTGCCATGTTGATGTAAAATGCAAAATCCCCACATCTATTAGTAAGAAAATTGAAATTGATTTGAATGCTCACTATTTTGATTCTCTCTCCCTTTTCTCTCTCCATTCATCAAGCATTTTGTATCTTTTTCCCCCTCCTTAAAAGGACTATGATCCAAGTTCATTTGTATAATTGAATAATCTTGAATATGGGTATAGGAAATGCCTCTCATATACCTGTCAGTCACACACACATTTCTTCCATCTTCCACTCCTAGCTTCTATGACTGATAATTATTGCAAGCTAATTGCAAATTTGCAAGGCTTGTTGATTCACATGATTGGTCTAAGAATAAAAATAAAAGAGGTTGAATTGAAGGCAGAAGCTCACACACTGAGTGTTCATGGTTCAATCACCTGCCCGGTGGAAGTGTTGGCCATGTTTCCTGACACCTGCTGTCCCTGTTCACCTAGCAGTACCTGGGTGTTAGTTGACTGGTGTGGGTTGCATCCTGGGGCAGAAGATTGAAGGATTACAGTGGAAATAAGACAGTCCTCAATGACACTGACATTCTTTGGTTATCCTGGCTGGCTAACCCTCCGGGTTAAAAATACCAACAAATCTTAACGTTAAGTAGTGTTCTGATGGTGTTGGAAAGTGTAGGCAACAATGTTGTTACTGCTTGGAACCCACAAAATGTGTATGTACTTACAACTGTGA